TATTGCCTTTAATGGCCAGATCTAATTCCCATCCAGCAGGCAAAGCCCAGTGTTCCAACATCCACACATGCAGGCACTGCTTTGACTCTGCCCTGCTCTGATCTCCAACCCCCCTGAATCCACAGCACTGCTGAGGCTGGGTGCCCTGTTCACTGCTTTCCCCATATCCCATCTCATTGAGGGGAGCAGGATGAGGAAGACTCTGGGTGCTCACACCCATCAGCCAGGGATATGCTTCATTTTTGCTGGGGGGTCTCCAGCTACTTCCTGAGCACTGGCAGGGTGCTGATAGGGGCTCAGCACCCCTCTTGACTTGCTTTGGGCCAAGGGTATGGCTGGCAGTGGAGCTCCCACTGTGCTTGGGGAGGTTTGCAGGGATGCAGCAGCAACAAGCAGCTACAGAGAGCACCCAGTTGTCCTGGTAACAGTGGGTGCCTCCAGCTCCTGCAGCTCAGTGCCGCAGGCAGGGTCCCACTGGGGGCCGAGGAGACTTTTGTAGATGCTGGACAGAGCGGTGCAAGCCAGTCTGTGCCACAGCTGGCACCGGGGTCAGGGCAGAGCATCCCGCTTTATATCCAGCATCGTGCCCTACGTGGCTTGCAGGGCAGCGGGAGCTGGTGACAAGCAATGTGTTTGGGAGTCTGTCAAGCACGCAGACCTATTCAGCATCAGAGTGTGGCCCAGAGAGCTGGGGTTTGGGACCGCTCATCTCCTGAGCTGCAGGCACTGCAGTGATCTGGATTTGCAGAGACGGGCTCTGGAATATCCTCCAGTTATGTCTGAGCTAATGACGCTTTCCTCCCTGGTATAAAGATCAGCCTGAGAAACCGGTGTGCTTGCTTTCAGCCTTAAGCCAGAGGGATCCAGTGCCTGTCTGGAGACACTGGGTTGGGCATCCTCAGGCTGCAGGGGAACACTGGGAAAAGGGAATGCCAGGGAAGGAAGAAGCACAAAGGTCTTGAGTGGATACAGCCCTGCAATTCCAGCAGTGCTGGGCTGGATCAGGGCTGGTGCTGAGCTACAGATCCCCAGGGTAATGAACAGTGGTCATGAAGGTGCTTCCTGCTACTGGATTTCTGCCTTGAATGGAGGCTGTAAGGGGCCAGCAGCGACCTGTGCACTGCAGGTCTGACACGGTGCAGGATGTGGCCGGTGGAGGTGGACAGGCTGCAATGGGAACATGCTGCATTGCCAGCACCATGGCAGTGAGGCTGTGCTATATCCCACTGGGCTCCCTGCTGCATGGCTGGGGCTCCGTGGTGGTGACACCCCATCTCTTCCAAGCCAGACCTCCCTGTGCTCCTGGTAGGCTCTGCCCTGGGCAGGATCCAGGCTGCAGTGCAGCCTCTGAGCCAGCTGCTCTCTATCGCCTGTGAACCACCAGGTTTACCCCATTTAAGCACAGCTTTCACATGGGAAACTGCAGCTCTGCAGCCCCCCCAGACACCACTGTGCCTCTGGGAGTCTGGGGTCCCTGTGTCACACACACCTGTGCTATGCTTGTGCAATTAAGGGGCGGCCCCATTTCTGACCTGCTGCAGCTGCTCCAGCTCTCCCTGCATCCCACATCCAAAACATGCCATGTCAAGGCCTCCACCTGTGTGTGCTGGCAGCGAGCACACGTACCCCACACAGGGGAGTCCATACACGTGCATGGGCCCTCCACATCATCCTCCCATGTGCACGTGTCCCTCAGCAAGCCCCAACAGCCCCACATGTGTGCACACATGAAGAACGCAGCCATGTGCATGCAGACACGGCCCAGTGCCGGTGTGTACATGAACCAGTTCACGTGTGTGCCTGCACACGCCAGCCACACGCATGCACAGCCTCCAGCAGCATCAGAACACCCGTGTGCACGTGTGTGTGTGCACCACGTCCATGTGTGTGCGTGTACGCCCCCCCCCCAGCGCTGCAGCATCCCGGGGGTCACCTTCCCCCCCCCCCATCCCGGGGTGCCGGCCGGGGGGGGGCACCCCCGCTCCCCCTTCCCCTCCCCACCGCTGTCACCGGCGCATGCAGCAAGTGCCCGAGCGGCGCGCGCCGCCGCCTCTCCCCCCCATCTCTCCCCCCCCCCCCCCCCCCCGCCTCCTTCCCCTCCCCTCCGCCGCTACCGGGGCCCGGCGCGCCCGCTCCCGGCCCCGCGCGCCGCCGCGCTCCCCCGGGCGCGCCCGGGCACCGGCAGCCGCCGCCGCCGCTCGGGAATGGCCATCCCGCTGCACGCCGCGCCGCGCTGCTGACGGAGCGCAGGTAAGGGCGGCGGCGGGGAACCGGGACCCCTCCACACCCCCGGTGCACCGGCACCCCCCCCACACCGGGTGCACCGACCCCCCCCCCCCCCCCCCGTCCTTCCCGGGGCACCGAGCCCCGATGAGCTCTGCTCTCCCCGCCCCCGATCCGCGGCGCAGCGGGGACTGCGGGATGCGGCGGCCGGTGCCGCCGGTTGGCAGAGCCCCGGTTCCGCTGTGACCCCCCCGCCTTTCCAGCCCCGGGGCCAACTTCCCTGCCCCGGTGGTGGCTGGCGGGGGACGGGAGTTGCAGCCGCGCCGCGGAACCGCCGGTGCCCGGTGCTGGCAGCGACACCCCCGGGGCGGCCCCGGCCCTCCTGGAAGTTGCGCGGGGCTGCGGCGGCGGCGGGGCGCGCTCGGTACCGGGGCTGGCTGCGAGCGGCGGCATGGCCAGGGCTGCCGGTTCTACCCGTGGGTCTACCCGGGTCTACCCGGTTCCGCGGTTGGCGGTCCTCGCTCTGATTGCCGGTTCTCCCGGTTGCCGGTCTTCCTCCAGAGCTGCATCCCCCCCCTCCCCGGTACCCGGTTCCTCCCCGTGGCTGCCGGTTCCACCCCTGTAGCATGTTCCCCCTTCGGTTGCCGGTCCTCCCCCTCGGTTCTGCCGGTGGTGTGTCGTCGTCGTCTCGTCCCGTCCCCCCCGTCCGTCTGTCGTCCCCCCCCCCGCTGCTCCTGTTCTGCCCCGGTTGCCGGTCCCTTCCTACAAGCAGTGTCAGGGCTCCGGCAGCCCTACATTGGTGGTGATGCACGTGTGTTGGTGGGCACATACATGTTGCTGGGCGCACATGTGGCACCACGGTGCCATGGCATGTCATCCAGAAAGGCCACAGCTGCGTGCTGTGCCAGCCCTGGCGTGGGCACACACGTGTGAGTGCTCTCCCCACGCCATCACCCATGCCATTGGGCCCGGGTTTTGGCATGCACCAGGAGTGTGGGCCCACGTGTTGGCAGCGGGTGGTGTTGCAGCTCTCCCTGCGTGGGGCTTTGTGCAGTGCTGGTGGTGGGGACCCTTCGTGTCACGGCACCTGGGCACTGTGGGCACCCAGCGTGTGCCGGTGTGGGCACATGAGGCATTCAGGTGGATCTGGGGGGAGCTGGGAATTGCTTCCCTTCCCCATGGGACCTGGGGTGGATGGTGGGAGGGGTGCCACGTGTGCATGCGTGTGTGTGTGTGTTGGTGCAGGTCACTTGTTGAAGCAGGGGTGCGTGTGCACTGTTGCCTACATGGTCGGTCCTGGGGGCTCACGGCAGCGCCGCGTGTGAACAACCCTTTGCTTTTCTAGGTCATGTCACTGCTGCCTGTGCTGGATGGCGCCTGGCAGCCAGGGACGCTGGGGACGTGAGAGGTGGCCCTAGGGTGGCTGCTGTGGCACAATGTCTGGTCGGGGTTTCTGGATGGGTGCTGCTGATGGCTGTGGAGTTGGTGGCATGGGGCTGGCACTGAGCTAGAATGCTCCCAGCGGGTGGTGGGGTGGTTGTTTGGGACTGACCTGTCCCCCTTTGAAGGCGGTGGCTGAGCCAAGGAGGGCTCATGGGGATGGAGCTGGCTTGCGGGAATCGCCCCAGTGCCCATGGGGAGGAGCGGGGTGACGTGGCTGTCGTCACTGTCACCATCACCCGGCTGCTTTCCAGCCACCCTCATTGGCACCCGTGTCTCACCGGGGTTCGTTACCAGTGGCACGGATGGCAGCAGGGGCTGGAGTTGGCTGTGGGGCAGTGCAGGAGCCTGGCAGCAGCTCCTCTCCAAGTCCACCCGGCTGTTTGTCCAGCCTTGTCACTAAGCCCTGCTCCGAGCCGAGTCTGCATGCAGCCAGGCTCCTACGGATTTTGCTGGAGAGAAAACGGATCCGGCACTGGCACCATGGGTGACCAATTGCTCTTCGACCGGCAGCCATGTGGCAGAGGGGCTCCAGCACTGCCTGGGACACGCTGGCTGCTCTTCCCAGCTGCCTCCAGCTCTTCTTGATGCCTCTAAGGACCTCTGGCCGTGCAGCACAGCACCTCTTCCCAGAGAGCTGCAGTGGGATCTGTCCTCCCCGGCACGCTCAGCAGCTGCGGGAAGCCCTGTCCTGGCACCAGCTCCTGCGCAGAGCACCGAGAATAGATGGGTCTTCCTTCCCCTGGGTTGTAACCAGCGCTGCCACGTCCCCATGACCCATGCTGGATGGGGGCTGCAGGATGGGCTCCCCACATCCCCCTGCCTGGAGGAAGATGACGCTCAGCCAGACGGATGCACAAACCGTGGGACAAGCTGCTAGCACAGCCCCCGGGGCTGGGCTGCTGCAATGCCTCGATGCTTCCCCACGGGAACCTGGATGCAGGCCCTGCAAACTCATTTCCTACCACGGAGCCATCCTCTAACGGGGACAGGGCTGGGTCTGAGCCACGCAGTCTGGCTGCCAAACGTCAGAGGCTCTGTAGCTCCTCAGTGATCATGAGGGCCACTGTGTCCCCCCCTGCTCTCATCCCATCTGTTTGCTCTTGATGTTCCCCAAGAGCAGGATGGAGCCAGGCCCCTTCTCTTCCTTGGGGCAACTTTGGAGGCTCCTGGTGGATCTGGGTTTGGAAGAGATGGTGGGTTACGAAAACCGTTCCCCTCGAGTGAGCACACATCCACCCTGCGACCTGTCCCCCCAACTGGATCCCTCCTGGGCCATCCCTTTTGCAGGATGGAGCTGATGGAGAAGGAGCCACATCCCTGCGACCTGTCCCCCCAACTGGATCCCTCCTGGGCCATCCCTTTTGCAGGATGGAGCTGATGGAGAAGGAGCCACATCCCAGCGACAGGGAAACTCCTTGGAAGCAGCAGGAGCAGCTCAGCTACTGCAGCCCCTGCGGGTGCCCAGCTGCAAGGGGGGGCTTTGCCTCCAGGGACTCCAGTGGAGGGGGAGGCAGCACATGCTGTTCCCTGGCACAGCCTAATCCCGGATCCCGGTGGAGGTTTCCGTGTGCTGTCTCTCGGCCCTGCTTTTGGAGTGGAGTTTTACCAACAGCAGTTAAGTAAAATAAATAAACTGGCCTGTGCTTGCCAGTGCGAGCGGGGCTGAGGTAGCTCCTGGCAAAGCAGCACCATTAATTACAGCGCAGTGCTGCTGCCAGCCTGCCCGCGCCAGAGAGCCGGTGGCAGCACTGGGGAAGCCAGAGACGGAGAGCATGGAGAAGCCAGAGATGGAGAGCATGGAGAGAGGGAGTCATGGAGCAGGGCAGCGGGGGGGGGTTGCTGTGCCGCAAAGGGAGGGAGCAGCATGGATAACGCTCTCCCTTCTGAGGGCCGTGTGTGGATGGAGCCCACGTGTGATCACACGTGTGCGTGCGCACGCCTTGCAGGAGGATGGGGTTTGGTGGGTGAGGGGAGGGATGTGGTGGAGTTGCTCTGGTGATGCTCACAGTGATTGTTACTCAGTAGAGCTGCGGTGTTGGTGTCGGTGCTGGATGGGGTTTGGAGCTGGGGGTCAGTGTGGAGGCAGCCTTGAGCTTCCCAGATGCCTTTGAAGCACTCGTGAAGATCCTGGTAACTGGAGGTTGAGGACAGTCCTGGCGGGAAGAGCTCGTTCTGGTGCTTGCTCCTTGGCATCACTGCTGGGCAGACAGGGATGGAGTTGGTTTCATGGCCCATTCCTCCCCACATGCTGTAGCCTGTCAGCAGGAAATGAGGCTTTTCCAGCCATAGCTCAACACCCAGGATTGTCCATCCCTTCCTTACCCTCATGCCTTTGGCCCGAGCCATCTTTGTGTTAAGAATTCTCATGGATTGTTTATTTTCTACAGCCTATTGAAAGAACACTGTTGAGTTAAAAAGCGTGTCTCTCAAAACCCAAATCCCTTTTACATTGCTATTAATTATTTCTCAGATTATTAATGCTAGTGGGATTTAGTGCTGTCTGTTTATCACTTTGGGGTTGGTTGGTTGTTCCTGGCTGTTCCTGGTTGAAGAAGGGTGGCTGCAGGCAGGTGGAAGCATGATGGTCAGGAGCTGACCCCTTCTGTGCCAGGATGATGGAGCTGGACCAGATCCCTGCCAATATTCCCATTCAGGAAAAGCATCTTCAGGGAAACAACCTGTTTGTGCAGCATGATGTAGAGCAGTGCCTCCTCCTGTCATGCTGTGGTGAGGGAGACATGAGCCCTGCTCGGATTCAGCTCTGTACCAGAGCCGGGAAGGATGCGATGGCAGTGATGGAGCGGGACCATGCTCTGATGCCTTGGAACAGGGAGTCTGGGATGTCACTTCCACACGGCTGCTTCCCAGCTCTTGTGATGACTCTTTAAAAGCTTTAATTAACATCCCAGCCCCTCCCCGCACCGGGGTGGGGAGTAAAGGCAAATGGAAGGTGCTGGAGCGGGTGTCTGCAGCACACGAGTGTGCCAGGCTGTGCCAGCCCTGCTTCGGTGCCATCACGATCCCAGCGGAGCAGCGCCCACTCTTGCAGCAGCCCAGCGAGGCAGTGGGATGCAGTGGGTCCTGGGGGCAGTCAGCATCCCGCATCCCACCATGGGCAGTATTTGCCAGCAGTGCTGGCGTGCAGTCACTGTTGATGGGTGTGTTATTTCCATGCATGGACCAAGGCTGTTTGGGAGGCAGAGGGGTGACGGGCTGTGGTGCCCTGGCACCCAGCGAGGCTGGGCTCACCCTTGCTGGACCACACGATGGGACATTGCAGCGTGCAATAACTTCACCATGGTGCCAGGTCAGGGGTGCCGGTGACCCCATTTGGGTGACTTTGGTGCCCCAGATGTTAAGTATCTGTTAACATCTTGCAGCTCAGCAGCTCACCCAGCTTGCAGCTCGGTGAAATGTTTTCACTGCAGCAGCAACAAGCGCTGCAGGGAGCGGGGCTGGTGCTGAGCGAGCTGGAGCAGATCTGAGCTGCTCTTCACAAGCCCTGGCCTTTGGTAGCGGCACTGGCACGGTGCCGGGCTCCTGGACAGCCGCAGCCCTGGCAGAGTTTTGGGGTGGGGGGAGGCTCCCCATGGTCCAGAGCAACCAGGGTTTAAAGCATGGGAAGCCCGGGGTGCTGGGGCAGGGCTCTGCTTGGCCTTGCCCATCCCCAGTGAGCTTTCCAGCAGGCTGGGCACCGGCAGCAGGGAGGGATGAGCGGATGGCGGTGCTGGAGCATCCCTCCTCACTGCTCCCGGGCGAGGGAAGCAAACACCATCTTGTGTCCCTGCCAGGCTGCGGGAGCCCCAGGAGCTCGCTGCAGAGCGGCAGCGTGTCCCTGCCTGACCTCCTCCTCCTCTGCCTCCTCCTCTTCCCCCTCCTCCTCTTCCCATCCTCGGCTCCTGGAGCAGTGGAGGGCTGTGACTCTCCAGGGCATCCCAGGTCCTTGCTGCGTGCTTGAGGAGCATCAGTGGGGGGTCCTCATGGGGCTCCCCTCTCCAGCTGCCCCTTGCCTCCCCGCTGGAGCTGCCTTCAGTGAGGGGTTTCCTGGTGAATCCCCTGGGGTCTGTCAGTGTTGGACGTGGCTGTAGGACAGGACAGGGGGCTTTTCTTTTGCCCCAGATCCCCCTGCTTACATCAGGGTGGTTCTGCCTGGATCCTGCCGCAGGAGTGGCTGCTCCCCCTGGCTCCATCCCAGCCCCTTTCTCCCCAGGCCGGTGTCCTGCTGGCAGGGGCCGGCTGCCGGCACGGATCCCCACGCTGCCAGGGCAGCGGGAGCCAGCGCCCGCCTGTTGCATGAGAGCAGAGTTATTTTTAGCTGTAATGTGCCTGTCGTGGCTTCGGCGCAGGCTCTGCTGAGGCTCAGGCTCCCTCCCCGCTGAGCATGGGGGATGCCCTGGTAGTGGTGTCTCAGCCAGGGGTGATTTGGGAGCAGGAGATGGAGAAGAGCATCCCTGTGTCCTGTCGAGTGCTCGGCATCCCCCACATACGGCTGGGATAGAGGGGAGCAGGGACCTCAGTGAGTCTGGAAATCAGCTTCTGGAGTACCATCCGTCCCCTGTGGCCATTCTAAGTGTCCCCTGGGCTGTCCCAGGCACAGACTGGCACGGCAGAGCACTGCCAACGCACGCGGTGGCCTCGGCCTCTGTAGAGCCACGCTCCGATCCTGTTTAATAAGGCCACTGAATGCATTATTTTATTAATGAGTTATTAAAAAGCCATCCTCAGCGATGCTGCTGCGTACCCGGCGTGGTGCCCAGGAAACATGTCCTTTAACCACTGATAGCCCTGTGCCAGGGTCTCACTCGCACTGGGGGGACACCATGCTGCTGGTGCCTGTGTACCCCCAGCACAGCGCCCTGGCCTCCTCTGTGAGCCTCTGGCCTGTCCCCGTGGTGCTCTAAGGCACCAGCAATAGCTACAAGGCTTTTTATAGCCCTGTCTGGGCAGAAGCTGTTTGGTGGCTCCTTGTCTGGGTTATGTTTGGCTGGCTCCTGAGGGCAGGGGGGTCACTGTGATGGGGGACCCTCAGTGTGGGGTGCGAGCTGGGTCTCTGTCTGGTGTTTTTTGGGTGACATTCCCCATGCTGCATGCTCCCCACCCCAGGGGCAGCCTTGGAGCAGCCCAGGAGACAGAGCAGGGGCTCCCGATGGCTGTCCCCTGCCTGCAAGGTGTGAGGTGGGGACATGGGCCACACCACTGACCCCCTGGACCAGCTCCACACTTGGACCCACAGCGGGTGCCTCCTAGGAAGCATCCATGTGTCTGCCTATCCGTCTGTCTCTTCTGCAGGGCAAATGCCATAGGATGACCGCTGCTGGTCCCCTCTTACTGGCTGTGATATCGACTCTCCTGTGGCTCACGCGGGGCTTCGATCCCGCTCCCAGTGCCTGCTCTGCCCTGGCCTCCGGTGTCCTCTACGGCTCCTTCTCCCTCAAGGACCTCTTCCCAACCATCGCCTCCGGCTGCTCCTGGACCTTGGAGAACCCCGACCCCACCAAATACTCACTCTACCTCCGCTTCAACCGGGAGGAGCAGGTCTGCACCCACTTCTCGCCCATGGTGCTGCCACTCGACCATTACCTGGCCAACTACACCTGCGACCCCCGCGGCGAGGCTGCCAGCCCCCCGCCGGCCACGCGGCGCCCCGAGGACGAGCAGGAGCAGGAGGAAGCGGAGCTGGAGCTGTGCGAGGGCGCGGGGCCCTTCACCTTCCTGCACTTCGACAAGAACTTCGTGCAGCTCTGCCTGGCGGCCGAGCCCGAGGCTGCCCCGCGCCTCCTGGCCCCGCAGGCGCTGGAGTTCCGCTTCGTGGAGGTGCTGCTCATCAACAACAACAACTCCAGCCAGTTCACCTGCAGCGTGCTCTGCCGCTGGCTGGAGGAGTGCCTGCAGGCGCCCGGCGCCCGCCGCTGCGGCTTCACGCACGCCGGCTGCAGCTGCCAGGCCGAGCCCCCGGCCGCACCGCGGCACAACGGCACCCGGCACGGCCCCCGCGGCCCCGCCGCGCCGCCCGCCACCGCCTGCTGCCCCACGGACCTGCGCTCCGGCGATGCCGACGGCCTCGACCTGCCCGACGCGCGGCACGGTGAGCGCGGGGGGGGCACCCCGGCTCCGTCCCTGCTTCCCGGGGGGTGCCGTGGATGGGGCCTGCCTGGGAACGCTCCCGGGGAAGGAGGGTGCAAAGCGGGTGCTGTGCGTGGAGCAGGGAGGCTGTGCCACGGATTGATCCTGCTCGTGCACGCTCCCTATGGGAAGAGGGTGCCAGTCAGGTGCTGTGTGTGGAGAAGGGAAGCCATGCAATGGACGAATCCTGCCTAGAGCAGAAGGATGCAAATAGGGTGCTGTGCTTGGAGCACGGAGGCCATGCAATGGACGAATCCTGCCCATGCACGTTCTCAGGGCAGTGGGGTGCGATGGCCAGGCTGGGTGGAGCTGCCCCTTGCTCTGTCCTTGCCGTGGTCCGGCTGGCACTGCTCCGTGCCATGCCAGTCCCAGCTGCTTGCCACGGCTGCTGTGGCACAGCCATCACGGCACAGGGCTGCTGCTCGCCTCGCTGCTCGCCCGGGGCAGAAACCCTTTCACTCTACATTGGTGGAGACCTGGAAAACAATTTGCAGGTAAAATGACCCTTTCCAGTGGCAAATTACCCTTGACTGCTGCAGCCCGGGCGCTTGTTATTCCAGGCAGGAAGTCGCGGCACAGCGCGGCCGGGCTATTAACCAGCCGGAATGAAGCCATTTGCTTGTTACGGAACCTCAAGTGAAGATAAAGCAGCCGTGCTCTCGTGGGCACTGAGGTTGGGCTGCTTGTAGCAGGGGCCTGTCTCTTCCAAGTGCTCCCTTCATCCGTGGAGCATCTCTGCCGAGGCGATGCAGGCAGTTTGGGGCACATCTGGCCAGACGTTCCCACTCTGTCAGTGCTTGGTGATGCACAGGGAGGAGTGATTCCCAACTGTGCTGTGTAGGGTCTTTACCCAGCAGCTTAGGCAGTAGTGATGGGCTGTGGGTGTATATATAATTTCATTGGGATTTAGCGTTTATTTCAGGAGCTAAATGTCATTATGGGCAGATCCCCTGACTAAATCCGTGGTCTGTTACAGCTGCAGGGTTACAAATCGCCTCATCCCGAGGGGAGCTGCTTGAGCTGGCTTTATTTATTCTGTTTCTTCCTTTTTTTCCCCCTTCAAATGCAACTCCACGTGCATGATTAAGAGCTCAGTGTTGGGTCCAAGAGCCATTCCCAAGGTCAGGGGCCTGACAAGTGTTGTGCATGCTGCGGGCTTCAGGATGCCCCATTCTTGTCCTTCTCAAGGGGTTCTGCACCTCTCCACAGGTGGTTTGGTGGGGTTAGCAATGCCAAGCACGGCTCAGAGAGAGGATGCTGGGCTGGGTGATGGAGAGCAGGGTCCCTGCAGACCTGGTGCGCTTGGGCACTGAGCTGCTTGCCACCTCCCTGCAGGCTGGCACAGCAACTGCTGCGATGGTGAGAGCATGAACTCCCTGCTCCTTCCCCACACCACATTCAACATTCCATTAAAACCTGGAGGAACAGTGCTCCTGCGGTACTGGAGCTGCAAGGGTAGTGTGCTGCCTTGGCCACCCCGTGTGCCACACTGCTGCCACCCGGTGCAGCCCCTGCGCTGGGGTTTAGCCTGCATGGCCACACTGGGCATGGGGCCGGAGCACAGAGCACCCTTCATGGTGGCAAGGGGGGGTCTCGGTCTCCCCCCGGTGCCCCATGGCGTGGAGAATGGTCGCCTTTCAGGGGGGTGGTGGCAGCAGGGCTGAATGGTGCCTGTGAGCGGAGCCTTGGCGGGCACCCAGCGCTGATCTCACCGGCTTCTCCTCCTCTTAGCGCCGCAGTCGCGCAGCGACGTGGGGCTGGCACTCACCCAGCTGCTCCTCAGCCCCCCCTGCCAGCCATGGCCCCCTCTGTGCACCGGGTGTCCCATGGGGATAGAGAGATGTTGGAGCTGGGGAGCCCTGGTGCAAGCACAGCGCTGGGTCCCTGTGGGCAGAAAGCATGGACGGGCATGAGGATGAGGTTGAGGCTTTGTGGCCTAATGTTGGGCCTCTTGCAGCCATGTGTTAGGGATAGGCCCCCACAGAGCCCACAGTGTTAAGTGGTTCCAGCTCTGGGCTGCATTGCCCCAAACCCATCACCCTTCAGAAACCAATCCCCAGGGAGGTGATGAAGGATGCGACTGTGGGTTGTGGGGACACAACTGGTCATGGGGGACACCCTGATGTCCCCAGGAGAACAGCCCTGCCCTTGCAGCCCAGGCACCATGCCATGGTGAGGGGCACTGGGGACCCCCAGGAGAGATGTGGGAGCTGGGCGCGGCCACAGCCACCCTGCAGCGACAGCCATGGATTTAGTGCTCTCTGAAGGAAATTGAATTTGGTGCCTCTGTTGAACACCGCCCGGGAGAGCTCCCTCGTATATCCTTGGGATTTATGGGTTTCCCGGGCACTCGCTGTGATGTGCATAATCCTGCTCATGGGGGTGAGCAGCTCTATGGGGACCGCCTGCACATGGAGCAGGATGCACAGGGGGGAAGGAGCTGGGGGTGACAGCAAGGGGTCCATGCAGGGGTTATGCTGGTTGAAGGCAAAAGTCAGTGAATTTGGGTCTTGTTGATGGCTCTAATAGGTGTCAGTGCAGGCAGCGCTCCCCTCCTGGGGCTGGGATCACCTCTGTGTGTTACAACAGGAGCTGCAGCATGCCCAAAGCATGGCTGGGGGCTCCCCTGCCCATGGGTGTCCCCATGTCACTGCCCATCCATCCCCTGGGGACATCACCGCACTGAGTTCGGTGAGGTGGCTGTGCCATCCCTGGCTCTGTCCTGGCTGTCACCGCAGCACTGTGCCCCTGGCACGCTTGGGGGGCACATCCATGGTGCCTGGGGGAGCCCCTGCTGTTTCCTGTGGTTCACAGCAGCTCCCCAGTGTCCTGTGCCCAGGGACAAGGGCCCCTGCTGCAGGGCAGGGGGTGGCCTGGGGCGGGGGCCCTCTTGCCGAGCCCTCCACGTGCCAGTTAATTTCACACCAAGTGCTCTTGATGGATCGGTTGTTATTTTTGGTGAGCCGAGCCATAAATTTGTGCCACCTCACTGCAGCAAGCTGTACAGAAGGGATGGGAGAGCACCTCTGCCCAGCACAGCGGGGACACGGCACCCCAGGCCATGCTCCTGCTGCAGCCCCTGTGATGGGGGATGATGTGTCTGGGGGAGCTGTGACACATTTTGGGGGGTCTATGAGTGTGCTCACCCATGCTCAACCGTCTCTTGCCCTTGGGGATGCCACACGGTGCTCAGTGTGGGTCAGGCATCCCTATATCCCTCTGCAATGTCCCTTAACCCACTGTGGCCTGTCCCCATCCTCATCTCCATCCCCTGCCTGCTCTCACAGGAACACTTCTCTCTTCCAGGCAATGCAGTTGAGGAGAACCAGAAAGTGAAAACCCAGTGGCCACGGTCAGCAGATGAGCCGGGTGTCTACATGGCCCAGACAGGTACCAGCGCAGCCCCAGCACAGCACACTGGTGGCAATAGGCTTGGTAGCCAGTGGTGATGGAGGTGGAGTGGTGATGGAGGTGGAGTGACTCCCTTTGCTTCCTGCCTGCAGAGTGACTTGATTTGCTCCACTGATATGGTTTTCCTTTACGCCTTCCTCTGAGGCTTGTAAAGCAAAGGACAAAAATCCATTATTAATTGTTTCGTTCAAATGTATTTATTTGGCAAATCCATCGGGGTCACCTGAGCGTGCTGTGTTGTCCGTCCGTCCCCCCCCCCCGCCACCTTGATTTATGGTCGGAGGGCTCAGAGGTGAGCACAAGATGGATTCTCCAGCACTCCGAGGGCTGTGCTCCATGTGCCTGGCGTGCAGATCTCCTCCTGGCCACACTCAGGTGCTCAAAGGGGTCCTGCCCCCCTGGGATCTGTGTGGGGTGACCCCAGTGGTGACCCAGTCCAGCCCCAGTGTCCCTGTATGACACAGAGCACTGTCACCTCCATGGGAGCCCTGCATCCTGCCTGTCTCCAGGACAAATTATCCCCTTCAGAGCCCTCCTCTGTGTATTCCTTTTTAATTTAAACTGATGGCCTTTTCTTCTGGCCTGTCCAATAGCTTCAGAGACACCATCAAGCTTAATAAGAGCCAGGTGGTTGTAAATGTCAGTGCTGTGCCTGGGTGGGGAGAGGGAACTGCACCGGGCTGCCCTGGTTTGGTGCTGTCCCTCATGTGGGGCATGATCCTGTGCCCTGACCCCTTCTCCACATGCAGCTGGTCCTAGGTCTGAGGGTGGCCCAGGCTCCTTCACCTTCCTTATGTCCTCAGTGCTGTTGTCACCATGTCCTTGTGCTCACGGGTGCTGCCTGGATCAAGGCCAGGCTGGACACAGGGGCTTGGAGCAAGCTGCTCTAGTGGAAGGTGTCCCTGCCCGTGGCAAGGGTTGGAGCTGGAGGAGCTTTAAGTTCTCTCTGACCCAAACTGTTCCATTATTCTATGATCCCATGACCCTCCCCAGCCCCTCTCTGTCTCTCAGGTTCCGTGTCTCTCTCTCCCTGTCTCCCACAGGGGATCCAGCAGCAGAGGAATGGTCCCAATGGAGCGTCTGCTCCCTGACGTGCGGGCAGGGCTCCCAGGTACGGACACGCTCCTGCGTCTCCTCGCCCTACGGGACGCTGTGCAGTGGGCTCCTCCGGGAGACACGGACCTGCAATAACACAGCCACATGCCCAGGTACGGGGGGCACGGGGGCCCCAGGGGCGTGCCCAGCACTGGCTGGGGACAGTGGGGGTGTCACTGGGGGTGCTGGGATGGGTGAGGAGGGTGTCTCTGCGTGGCAGCACTGTCGTGGAAGCAGATGCTGCCCATCCCATGCTGGGCTGCTCCCAGACATCCCCCCATCATCTCGCCTTCCCAGCTGTCCCAGCTCTTGGGAATCCAATGGGGAGCAAGCGAGCCTGGAATGGGTGCCGCCGTGCCGGGGCGTTTGCCTTGGGAGCAGCTCAGCCGGTGACCCCTCTCCATCCTGGGAAACTCAGGGAGTCTCCATGCTTTGTGCTGGAGAAGCCAGGGCTGGAGCCTGCGCCAGGAGACTCGGGGTGGTGTTGGGGTCCCCAACCATGTAGGGCAGAAGGGGGATGAGCTGCTTGGTGCATTGAGGCAGGTTGTAGGCAAGGAGCAGGCAGGATGCCTGGGGGCTCACTGGGCCATGTACTGGTCTGTCTGTCCATGGTGGTGTCTGTGTGTCTTGTGTGGGACGCTGGCAGTGTGGGATGTCCTGTCTGAGCCTAGGATGTTCTGGGGACTTTGCACCACCAAAACACACTCCCTTCCATACTGGGGAGCACAGCCCTGTCCTGGCATTCCAGGGGGATCACAGCTCGTGCAGGAACATCCTTTAAGATGTGTATGTGCCACGTGGGTCCCCGCTCCCCGATTTCCCATGGGTGCTATGCGTGAGGAGCCATGCCTGGTGCGGTGCTGTGGGTTGGGGTGGTCCGTGCTGTGCGTGGATGTGGGGATTCATGTGCGCCGGGGCCAGGACATGAACGGCAGGCCGGAGCAGGGCAGGGAGCGGCAGCGGCACCGCTGCCTGCTTGGGGCCCTCAGGGTTCAGGCTCAGGCGTGATGATGGGCAGGAGGTGCCAGTGGAACCGTGCCAGGCTCCTCCATGGAGCCCTGGACACAAGGGGTCTGCCATGGGCAGGACCGCGGCGGCATGAGGAGGCGGCGGGCGCCCCGGGCCGGGGGCTGCGGCGATGGCTCTGTGCTGTGTTGCAGTTCACGGCGCATGGGAGGAGTGGTCCCCGTGGAGCCTGTGCTCGGTGACCTGCGGGCGAGGGGCCAGGACCAGGACGCGGCGGTGCGTGGCCCCGCGGCGCGGAGGGAAAGCCTGCGAGGGCCCCGAGCTGCAGGCCAAGCCCTGCAATATCGCGAGCTGCCAGGGTCAGTACCTCCTCCCCCTGCTCCTCCTTCCCCTGGGAATGCCAGGACACAGCTCCCGGCACGGGGCTGCGGCGCTGCGAGGGACGGGTGGCACCCACGAAGACCGGGGACAGCCCGTGAGCACATGGGTGCTGTGACATGGGCGCACCCTCCGTTCCCTGCTGGAAACCTGGCTGCAGATCCAGCTCTGTCGGCCGTGCCAAGGCGCTTGAGGGCCTGCTGCAGGCAGGCAGGACCAGGCTGGGGACCATGGAGGAGCTGGCTCCTCCCCTGCCCATTGCTGACTGCTCCCTGTGGCCGGCGCAGTGCTGGCACCAGTGTGACAATGGGGACATCGTGGGTAGGCGGCCGGAGGTGGCAAAGGGGGTCGGTTTCAAGGTCTGTCTGTGTGTGGTGCGGCATCTTCATCCCTTCCTCCTGTGTGCCCGGAGAGGCTGTGGTGGTGGCCGTGGGGTTTCTGTTGTGATTGGACAGAGATGATGCCGTGTCAGGCATGGACCCCACACGTGGTGTGGAGATGCTGGTGGGCAGCTGGGAGCCGGAGAGAGGTCAGGAGCTATGGGGTGCATGGGGTGCACCCCATGTGCAGCAGCTCCACCAGGGAGCTACCACTATGGCACATGGAGATGCTGCTGGAGTGATGGAAGCTCACAGCAGCTCCTTCCCCTCCTGCCCTGCCACTTAGAGCAACTGGTTTGGTGGGGAGTGATGCCAGGGCTACTGGTTTTTGGGGTCGGCGATGGCAGGGTCCCTGGAATGCGGCCATGCAACAAAGCTGGGTGCTGCGGTGCTGCAGGCGCAGCGCTCAGGATGCTGAGGGGGCCAGTCCTGGTGACGGTCCCCGCGCAGGGCAGGATCCGGTGCTGGCCATTGGGGGCAGCACGGGAGGAGCCGGCACGTCCGTAGGTTGGACCCGTTGCACAGAGAGCCCGGTGTGGGTCACGGGGAGCCGTGGCCGAGAGGCCGCCGGCCGGTGGGGGCTGACGCCGCTCTCCTTGTCCCCGCAGTGGAAGGGCAGTGGCTGGAGTGGGGCGCCTGGAGCCGCTGCTCCGTCACCTGCGCCAACGGCACGCAGCAGCGGACGCGCAAGTGCAGCGTCTCGGCACACGGCTGGGCCGAGTGCCACGGGGCACACGCCGACGCACGGGAGTGCTCCAACCCCACCTGTCCCAGTAAGGCCCCGCGCGGTGGAGGGAGCGGGAGGGGAGGCCACGCGTGCCAATGGCACAGCACATCAGTGCACGGCACATCAGTGCACGGCACATCAGTGCACGGCACATTAGTTCACACCAACTCAGTGCACAGCACCTCAGTGCACAGCACCTCAGTGCACACCACATCAGTGCATGACACATCGGTGCTCTGCACACGGTGCACACCACGTCAGTGCGTGGCACATCAGTGCACATCACGTCAGAGCACACTACTTCATTGCACACCACATCACTGCACACCACTTCATTGCACACCATGTCAGTGCACATGGTCCAGCCTTTCATCTGCTGCAATGTCACCACTGGTGACATGAGGATGCAGATTTGGGAGTAGGGGAGCAGGAGCCAAAGGGTGGTGCCAGAGATCAGCAGCCACCCTTCCTCGTACCAGCTGAACCCACTGGGCATGGAGGCAGGGATTCACCCTGTGCCCTCACCCCTGTGTCACGCTGGGGGCACCCGTTGGTGCTAGGTGGCTACAGGTACTGGCGTGCTTTGGGTGTGCAAACATGTTCGAGTTCTTGTGTGCACACATGGGGCTGGCTCTGGGGATGGAGGGACAGCAGGCAGGGGGTAGGCAGGCCAAAGGATGGATTCTGTTCTCATCATGTCCTTCAACCTCATCTTCATCTTGTCCTTTGAGCCCTTGGCATTGGTCGCAGTCGCGGAGAGGGGTGGTTGCTGTGCCATGGCCACCACAGCAGCCGGAGCAGGGATTTGGCTCTGCCATGCACCCAAGGAGGCCCTTGGGCTGCTGGCACGGGTAGTGTCTACAGGAGATTTCAATCACTGATCCATGGATTTCATACCCAGAGGGGCTTTTGATCCATGGCATGGGGGCAGCTGTAGCTGGTGCCTGCCCCGTCTCCATCCCTCTGGTGCCACTTCCCATGCTGAGCCAGGTGTCCCATGGTCTCCCCATCCCCACAGCAGACAGCAAGTGGGGCCCCTGGAACCACTGGAGCCTCTGCTCCAAGACCTGCGACACGGGCTGGCAGCGGCGCTTCCGCATGTGCGAAGGCACGGGCATGCAGGGCTACCCCTGCGAGGGCTCTGGCGAGGAGGTGAAGACCTGCAACGAGAAGAAGTGCCCAGGTAGGGACATCCCCACCCCAGTGCCCATCACCCTGCATCCAGCCTACCTCTGACCCCCTGTTCTCACCCCCCAGCCTACCATGAGATGTGCAAGGACGAGAACGTGATGCTGATGACCTGGAAGAAAACGGCTGCAGGGGAGATCATCTACAACAAGTGTCCCCCCAATGCCACGGGTGAGGGGTGCAGGGCAGGCGGTGACGGGTGGCACCAAGGGTCCTCGCCCACCCTCAGTGTGCCGGTTCCTGCACCAGCTCCAAACCTGGTTGTCCCACACAGGGTCTGCCAGCCGCCGGTGCCTGCTGAGCCCCCATGGTGTTGCCTACTGGGGCGTCCCCAGCTTCGCCCGCTGCATCTCCCGCGAGTACCGATACTTGCATCTCTCAGTAGGTGCTCGCTCTGGCGTGGACCCTCCTTACCATCCTCTTCCCCTCCCCAGCACTGGGGATCTGCCCCATCCCTGGGCAACCCTGGCTGGCCACCACATGGGGAAACTGAGGCAGGGCCCCCCAGCCAGGGCTGGGAAACGGGACCCCATCCTAGAGCCAGAGGTCCAGGCTGTGCTCCTGTGTCCTTTGGATATCAGGATGGGAAGGATCCCCAACACCCCCATATCCTGCTGCTACCCTAAGTAGTGCAATTAGCCCTGCAGCGCCCACCCTTCCTGGGCTCTGAGCTTGGTGAGGAGCTTGGGGACACTGCTGAGGGTGCTGGTGGCCAATTGACACCGGTGTCCTCCCCCTTGTACAAGCTGCGGGAGCATCTGGCCAAGGGGCAGCGGGTGCTGGCAGGCGAGGGCATGTCGCAGGTGGTGCGGAGCTTGCTGGAGCTCATGGCCCGCAAGACCTACTACAGCGGGGACCTGCTGTTCTCCGTGGAGATCCTGCGCAACGTCACCGACACCTTCAAGAGGGCCACATACATCCCGTCCTCTGAGGACGTGCAGGTAGCGGGGCTGGGGACGGCGAGGGACAGCCCTGGGAGGTGGTCGGTGCCCAGCCCCGGTCCCGCTGAGCCCCGGCCCTGCAGCGCTTCTTCCAGGTGGTGAGTTACATGGTGGATGCGGAGAACCGGGACAAGTGGGAGGATGCGCAGCAGGTCAGTGGAGCCGGGCACGGGCACGGGCGGCTGGGGCGCAGCCGGCGCATCCCCACCACAGCCCCTCGCCCGCAGGTCTCGCCTGGCTCCGTGCACCTCATGAAGGTGGTGGAGGACTTCATCCATCTGGTGGGGGATGCGCTGAAGGCTTTCCAGAGCAACCTCATCGTCACTGACAACCTGGGTGAGCACCAGGGAGGGGCACTGGGCTCAGTGAGGGCAGGAGGCTGGGTGCTGACATCTGCTCTGCCCCTGCAGTGATCAGCATCCAGCGGGAGCCCGTCACCGCTGTCTCCAGTGACATCAACTTCCCGATGAAGGGGCGCCGGGGCATGAAGGATTGGGCCCGCAGCTCCGAGGACAAGCTCTTCATCCCCAGGGAGGTGCTCAGCCTCGCCTCTGCCGGTGAGCCAGCACGCAGCACATGCGCGTGAATGTGTGCAAGTGAGCATGCACGTGAGGGCGCACATCTGCTGCTCTGCACGCATGTACATGTGCATGGGCACGCACGTGTGTGTGCGCATCTGGGACTCTGCATGCATGTACATGTGTATGACCATGCACATGTGAGTGCACATCTGGGGTCTGCACATGCATGTGCATGGAGCATGCATGTGTAGTGACGTGCACATTCACACACATGTGAGAAAGCATGTCTGGGACCGTGGATGTATGTGCCTGTGAACATGTGCGGGCTGGCACGTCTGGGGCTGCGTGTGTGTAGCGGCACACCTGGGAGTACACGTGTGTGCCCGTGTGGGCCGTGTGTGTGTCGGGGAGGGGTTCCCTGTGTCTTCCCGCGTGCTGTCACGTGTGCCCATGTGCTGGATGAGCCCCCGCGTGCGCTGGGCTCACGGCGCCGCTCTCCCTGTGCCGCCCCTGCAGAAGCGGATGAATCGTCCCACTTCGTCATCGGGGCCGTGCTGTTCCGCACGCTGGGGCTGATCCTGCCTGCGCCCAGGTGAGTGCGCTGCCCGCTGGGCCTGCACCTGTCCCCATCCCTGTGACAGCCCCTGCTGCCCCCCCGCAGGACGCCCCTGGCCGTCACCTCCAAGGTGCTCATGGTGACCGTGCGCCCTCCGACCAAGCCCGCTGAGCCCCTCGTGCTGGTGGAGCTGTCCCACATCATCAACGTGAGTGTCCCCAGCCCCGCACTGTCACCTCGTGCTCCCACGTGGGTCCCACCAGCCCCATCCCCAGGCAGAAGCCAGCAGCTCCTCCACGGTGGGGATGTGCCAGTGCTGGGGGAGCCGGGCAGGTCCCCATGGACCAAATACCCCTCTGGGGATAGGAGAAGGGCAGGGGGTGAAGTTCTGACCCACCCCTCTGTCCACAGGGAACGTCCCACCCGCAGTGCGTCACCTGGGACTACTCAAGGACGTGAGTGGAGACAGGGACATCGCTGGGTGATAGGTGCTGGTGGGAGGGATGGGGAGCAGGGCCGGTCCCTCACTGGGGTGAACTGGGATGGCTGCGCCGTGGCACTGATGCTGCCAGCCTGCCAGATGCAATTGTGAGCACGGAGCCCGGTGCCGTGGCAGCAGCGAGGGAAAGTAGGGCATGGGGAGGGGGCCAGGCTCCCGTGGGGGCTCTGCCCCCCAGGGCACTGGCTCCAGCGCAGCTCCAGCACTGACAGGGTGGGATAGGTTGTGGTGAGTGCGGTCGGTCTCAGCCTGGCCCTGGGTGGGTTGAGCTGCGTTCCCAGCTGTCCCACAGGCCCAGTTCCCAGATTCTCTGCCTTGCTGGGAGCCATGGCTGCTCTCCCTGTGCATGGCCAGTGTCACCACGGGGCACCCAGGCCCCTCCACTGGGGGTTCCCATGGGGGGTGTACCCAGGCGGCTCTGGCTTTGGGGCAGCACATCTCTGTTGTGAGCCATGGGGGCTCCTGCCCTGGTGCTGCCTCATCCCTATCCATCCCCACCACCCCTCCTCCTGGGCCTGTCCCCCCCTTTCTGTGGTGTCCCCCTCCACCCAGAACTGTTTGGGATGATTAAAAATGAAGCCTTCACATTGCACAGCTCCGTGATGATCAGAACCAGGGTGGGCAGGGCAGCGAGGGGGGGATTAACCTGGCCCCTGGCAGTGACCCCTCCATCCACCACCCCCTAGGCAGGGCCAGCAATGGGTTAAGTCTGGAGAGGCCGAGGGGCTGCGCCTGTGTTTGATCATTTCAAACTGCTCCCCCTCACTCTCCCTGTCCCATTAATCAGGGATGCTGGCTTGGGAAACTGGGACACGGAGAGCTGCCAAACCCTGGAGACCCTTCCGGCGCACACCAAGTGCCAGTGCCGCCAGCTCGCCACCTTTGCGGTCCTTGCCCAGCTGCCCAGAGACCTGGTAGGGGACTGGGATGAGCCTTCTGGGAACATGGGCTGTGGATGGGGGGTGATCCCCGGGCTGTGGGGCCTCGCCAAGTTGGGGGTCCCAAAGGAGGATGGCGATAGGCAGGGTGCTGCCTGAAGGCATCCTGGTGGATGGGGTGGGCACTGGAGGGCAGGGGGGTGTCCTTCATAACCCATGGGAAGGACCCCAGCCCCCTGGCACCCCAAGGATGGGCTCATGTGGGCACGGGGCTGTTGTGGTCTATAGCGCTCCATGCGGGGCATTGCTGTGTGCCAGGAGGGGAGGGGCAGGCCTGGCCGCAGCATCCCCCCATCCCATTGCTATTCCACCTGCATCCTGCGTCGGCATGGAGATGGGCATGGGTCCCTGGGAAGCCGCCTTAGCTGCAATGCCACCAACCCCCCGGCACCCGGGGGTCCCCAACCAGGGGGGTGAAGGGGCCCAGTGGTGCACAGGGAGCAGCTATGGGGGCGCCAGGCTCAACCATGGCCCCCTCCCTGTTCCACGCCAGGCCATGGACTCCTCGAGTACCCCATCCGTGCCGCTGATGATCGGCTGTGCTGTGTCCTGCATGGCCCTGCTGACACTGCTGGTGATCTACGCTGCCTTCTGGAGGTGACACAGGGACAGAGGGGAACCTGGGGGGCACATGGGGTGCAAGACCATGGGGGAAGGGGGTGACAAAAGGGGGGCACAGCATGAACAAAGGCTCAGCACCAATGTGATGAAATGCAGCGTGGTGGGAATGGAATAACCGTAGCAGCAGCTGGGCTACCTGGCACTGCCCCTGGTGTGGGACAGGCTGGTGCCCCAGCCCCATGCTGCTCCTGCCCGCAGGTTCATCAAGTCGGAGCGCTCCATCATCCTGCTCAATTTCTGTGTGTCCATCCTGGCCTCCAACATCCTCATCCTTGTGGGGCAGTCCCAGATGCTCAGCAAGGTGGGTGCCAGCACTGTGCCCCCTTCATGGGCGTCCCTAGGTGGGCGCAGGGGCTGCAGTGGGGTCTGAGCCTTCTTCTCCTGGCCGGTCTTCTCATCCCTGCTGGCTCCCAGCATCAGATTGGATTTGGATTAACTCAATCTCAGGATTAAATCCTTTGTGCCCATGGCTTTGACACAAACCTTGCCGGGGTTAGGGAATTTAAGCACCACGTGGCTGCGGTGTTGCCGTGATGCCTCCCCTTGATGTACCCACATCCCCGCAGGGTGTGTGCACCATGACAGCCGCCTTCCTTCACTTCTTCTTCCTCTCGTCCTTCTGCTGGGTGCTGACGGAGGCCTGGCAGTCCTACCTGGCAGTGATCGGCCGGATCCGGACACGCCTGGTCAGGAAACGCTTCCTGTGCTTGGGATGGGGTAAGAGCATGGCAGGGTTGGTCCCGATGGGCAGAGGGGAGGCACTGCAGGGTTGTCAGGAGGGGAAACTGAGGCGCAGTGGAGGAAAGCAGACCCTGGTGTCTTGGCTCCTCTGAGCACCCAGACCATGGAGGGCTGACAAAAAGGCCCCATCCCCATTCACGGGGGTGATGCTGGGGGGTAACAGGGCTGCCACCCCCTGCAGCTGCAGCCTCATCTCCCCTCTTCAGGGTTGCCAGCCCTCGTGGTCGCAGTCTCTGTTGGCTTCACACGGACCAAAGGCTACGGAACAGCAAGCTAGTACGTGGGGGCAGGGGGACATAAGGCTGGGCATGGGATCGCCCTGGGCTGGAAGCAGTGCTGGGAGCAGGAGATGGGGACCCGGATGGTCCCATCTCCACCAGCCCCTGACACAGCACAATCCCTGCAGCTGCTGGCTCTCGCTGGAGGGCGGTTTGCTCTACGCCTTCGTGGGACCCGCTGCTGTCATCGTGCTGGTGAGCTGACCCCGAGCCTGAGACCCCCAAACCCCACCCCGGTGCGTGGTGGGTGCCAGCCCTGCCTCGCCGAGGGCTCCATGCCCTAATCCCGGCGCCGCTCTCGCCCAAGGTGAACATGCTGGTGGGCATCATCGTGTTCAACAAGCTCATGTCCCGCGATGGCATTTCAGATAAGTCCAAAAAGCAGCGAGCTGGGTAAGTGCCCTGCGCCCGCGGGGCTGTCCCGGGGCTGCCGCGGTGCTCCCGGCCCTGCCGCAGGGCACGGCAAGGGGTGTCCGGCAGCAGCGTGCCGAGCACGGGGCACACTTCACTCCAGCAGCGGGTGGTGGGAGCCAAGCATGGGGCAGCCACAGCCCCTTGTTGCAGGCTGCTGGTGGGGGGAGGTCACCCCAGCACCTTCCCCTGGGGAAGGGGGAGCCGCACTCTGCGGAGCCCATTCCCTGCTGCCAGCGGAGGGGGCTGAGCCCTGCCTGCCCCATCCCGCCACCGCTCATCATTAACAACTGCTGCTTCCCTCAACTAACCCGACTCTTCTCTCTCTTTTTCTTCTCCCATTTGCTTTTTGCCTCTCTCCATTCCCCCTTCCCTCCCTCCCTCCATCCATCCATCCACCCATCCATTCCTCCCTCTCTCCCTCCCTCCATCCATCCATCCCTCCATCCATCCCTCCATCCATCCATCCATCCATCCATCCATCCATCCATCCATCCATCCATCCATCCATCCATCCATCCATCCCTCTATCTGTCCGTCTACCCCGCTCTCCCATGGCCTTGCTCCCCTCACCTGCATCCCCGCGTGGCCCGGTCCTGGCCGTGGGGCGCCGGGGGGATGGTGGGCTCATAGCTCCAAGCCCCCCCCCTGCGGCAACCTGCTGCTGAAATGCACCAAGTGCGGCGTGGTGTCCAGCGCGGCCATGACCTCCGCCACCGCCAGCAGTGCCATGTTAGTGCCCACCACGCGTCCCCCCCGCCCCCAGCACAGCCTTGCACCCCGGGGGGGGGGGCTGTGGGCATCGCCCTGGGTGGGGGACATGCTCTGGGTTGGGGGTCCCACGGGCAGGGTGAAGGCTGTGTGCTTGGGGCGGCCCCACCGTGGCCATCACGTCTGCATGGCATGGCTTCCCGCAGGTCACATCATCGTGAGGGCTCAGCTTCTCTTCCCTGGGGCAGTTTGGGAGTGGGGAGGGAATGAGGGGACCCATGCCATGGGGCATGGGACAGTCCTGGCCTTGGGGTGTCTCTGGGACCCTCTCCCTGGCTGGGATGTATCCAGAGGGCCAGGCTGTGACCACTGCACCCTGGTCAGTGGAGGTCCCCGGTCCCAGGGGTTAGTTGCAATAGAAGCAGCCCCAAAATTCACTGTTCAAAAAGAAATAAACCCCATTTATGCTCTTCTTGTGGCTGTGGGAGGGTGATGGTGGCCCCATGTCCCCACTCACACTGTGTGGGGACAGGGATGTGTGGCTGTGCCCCACCTGAGCTGCTTGGCAATGCTGCTGGCTCAGCCTGGGTGGGCAGAAGGAGCCCTGGCCCCCCTCACCCTAAGGCAGGCACCCAGACAGCACTTGGGGGCACCACAGAAGAGGGGTCCATGGGGGCCTGGGGGGGTGCTGGGGTTCAGTCAGCCCTGTCCACATTGCAGGGCGAGGGGTGATGCTCGAGGGGCTGTTGTGGGGCAGCCCCGGTGCAATGGGCTCACCCCAGCCCCTCTCTCCCTGCCCCAGGGCATCGCTGTGGAGCTCCTGCGTGGTCCTGCCTCTGCTGGCGCTGACCTGGATGTCGGCCGTGCTCGCCATGACCGACCGGCGCTCCATCCTCTTCCAGGTCCTCTTTGCCGTCTTCAACTCTGTCCAGGGCTTCGTCATCATCACCGTGCATGGGTTCCTGCGCCGAGAGGTGGGGTGGCCCCGGGGGTGCCAGGGCAGGGGGGGACACCCCTGGCTGCGGGGCCATGACCGGCTCTGTCCCCACAGGTCCAGGACGTGGTGAAGTGTCAGATGGGGGGGTGCAGGAGCGAGGAGAATGAAAACTCGCCCGACTCCTGCAAGAATGGGCAGGTTCAGATCCTGGTGAGTGCAGCAGTGCCGGTGTGGGATGCAGCGTGCAGTGGTGTGGGATGCAGCGTGCAGTGGTGTGGGATGCAGCGTGCAGTGGTGTGGGATGCAGCGGGCAGTGGTGTGGGATGCAGCGGGCAGTGGTGTGGGATGCAGCGGGCAGTGGTGTGGGATGCAGTGGGCCGTGGTGAGGGATGCAGCGGGCAGTGGTGAGGGATGCAGCGGGCCGTGGTGAGGGATGCAGCGGGCAGTGGTGTGGGATGCAGTGGGCAGTGGTGTGGGATGCAGCGGGCCGTGGTGAGGGATGCAGCAGGCAGTGGTGTGGGATGCAGCGGGCAGTGGTGTGGGATGCAGCGGGCCGTGGTGAGGGATGCAGCGGGCAGTGGTGTGGGATGCAGCGGGCCGTGGTATGGGATGCAGCGGGCCGTGGTGAGGGATGCAGCGGGCAGTGGTGTGGGATGCAGCGGGCAGTGGCATGGGGTGCTCACCCCACTGGGGCAGGGTCCCCCTTGCAAACTCCACTCCCCCCCATGCTGGCCAAGATGCATTCATTTCCCCGTCTCTCTCCCCATCTTTCTCTCTCCTCTGTCTCTCTCTTCCCCCATTTATGTATTTTTATAGACAGACTTTGAAAAGGACGTTGACCTGGCGTGTCAGACAGGTGAGGTGTCCCCGTCCCCTGTGCTGGGGCTGCTGTCACCATGGGACAGGGACAGGCAGATTGTGCTGGGGGTCGGACCCATGGGCTAGCTCTGACCCCACTCCCTCCCACAGTGCTGTTCAAGGAGGTGAATACCTGCAACCCTGCTACCATCACGGGCACCTTATCCCGCATCTCCCTGGATGGGGATGAAGACCCCAAGCTCAACACCACCTCAGAGGGAGGCCTGGGCTTCTCCAGCCTGCCAGGAAACATTCCTCCCTCCAGCATCCTGGTCCAGGTCCCCAAGATGACACCCAATGTGGTGGCGGGCTTGGGCGAGCTGGGGGAACCCCCGGCGCAGCAGCTGGGTCTGGAGGCACCAGGTCCCGTGTACCTGTGCACGGAGAGCAGCCTGCGGCCGCTGGAGTACGGGTGGCTGCGGGCCCCTGAGCCCCCCCGCGAGAGTGACTACATGATGCTGCCGCGCCGCACCAGCAGCCTCAAGCGTTTCCCACGGGATGAGAGCACTGAGGAAGGGGTGCCCGGCGGGACGGGGCGCCCGGCAGCTGAGGGTGATGCCTACCCCAGCTTCGTTGCGGTGGATCACGTCAATGTGAACTTGAACCAGCCCTACGGCACCGTGAAAGCTCCCTATGGCCTCCAGTTCAAGCAGCATCCCACCGTGCGGCAGATCCTGGCCTCGGAGCTGTCAGAGCGCAGCCGCACCATGCCCCGCACCGTGCCCGGCTCTGCCATGAAAGTGGGGTCCCTGGAGGTGAGTGGGGGGCTGGTGAGGAAACACACCCGGGGACGGGCTTTGGGTGAGGGTGTAGCATGCATTGCCCCCATGCTCCCTGCTCAGCATCCCACCCTCTGCATGGGGCAGCATGGTGGGTGTCTGCATGTCCCCACCTCGTCCTGGAGCTCCGTGTCCCCAGCCTAGGGACTGGCATGAGCTTCCCCCGCCACATTCTGGGCCTGCAAAGACCTTTCCCTTTTCTTCTCCATCTCCTCCCCCTGCTCCGGGCCCTGTGTGTCCCCTACCAGAGGAAGAGGTTGCGATACTCAGATCTGGACTTTGAGGTAAGCCCCACCATGGGGCTGGGTACCATCCGGGTTCTAAACCAGCTCATCCCTGGTTCCCTCTGCTTGATGCCAGCAAAGCATCAGCCAGCCTCAGAGGGGTTTACACCAGGCAATAACGAGTGTTGGCTCTTGATTAAAACACCAAGAGGGAGCATCGCAGGGGGCTCTGGGTGCCCCAGCGGGCAGGAAGGGGTCAGGGATGGGGATGGCAGTGGAGAGGATGTGCCAAGGGGCACAGGGCCATGTGGATGGCCACAGGCCCTGCTCTCACCCCACAGAAGGTGATGCACACACGGAAGCGCCACTCTGAGCTTTACCATGAGCTCAACCAGAAGTTTCACACACTGGACCGGTACCGAGCCCCGGCTGCCGGATCCTCCAAGGTGAGGCCCTGGGGACCCCAGTCTGCTCCTCTGCACCCTTCCCTCTCCCCCTGCATGCACTGGGGCTGATGGGGAAATGAGGCATCCCTGGAATGATGCTGGAGCTGAACACGGTGGGTTTTTCCACAGCGAGAAAAGCGGTGGAGCGTCTCATCGGGTGGCGGGGAGAAGAGCTTGGCCAATGTAAGTGCCTGGGCCCCATCCCACATGGGATGGAGCATGGTGGTGGTGGTTGTGCCCCTGGACAGGGTGGTGGTGGTGGGACATTGCCATGCACCTGGCTGCTTGCCGCAGCTCCCTCTTTGCCCACAGGATGCGGCCAGCCCCAAGGAGCAGCAGCTCCAGGCACCAGCAGCGCCACCGAAGCCCTGGAGCACATTCAAGGCGATGACACTGGGGTCCCTGCCCAGTGCCCAGTGGGACCGGCTGGAGCTGCGATGCGCTGACTGGGGGGGGCCCTGTGCCGGCCTGGATGTGGCCGATGGTGACTTCCAGACCGAGGTGTGAGCCCCGTGCCTGGCACCACTGTCTTGGACCAGCCAAGATGCTGCGTTTGCTCCATCATCCGCGGCGGCCAGGGGCCCTTGTGTGGCCAGAGCCATTCCCATGGGACACACCGAGCTCCCCCCGGCTGCGGCCGCCTCCTGTCCGTCCTTTGCGTGGTTTCTCCTCCTGCCACCCTCCGGATGCGGGTGCGGAGGGGACACGTGCACCCCCCTGCCCATGCTCACCCCACTGCTCACGCCTGCACCCCCCGGGGCAGGTCCGGCCGTCGAGGCCGTCGGATCCTCATTTCTTTTGTACCGGGATGTTTCTTCACGCCGTGCACCGTGTGCACGCGAGCGGCCGCCCCCGGCGCCCCGTCCCAGCCCTCCCCACCATCCCTCCCCACGGGGAAGGTGCTGTTGTTGTTGGAAATAAAAGTTCACTCTCTGTGGTGCCGTGGGGCCACGGCCTCGTGTCCAAGCGAGGGAAAGGGGGTGGCTGTCACCCTGTGGTGGCTGGTTCCCCCCACCCAGCTATCAGCATCCTGCCGAGCCCATGCCCTTGCCTTGCAAATGAGTGTCTTATCGCGGGAGCCAGGAGCGCTGAATTACATGGTAATTAATCCATGAGCAAATTAGTAACTTTAGAGGCAATTCCCGTGCAATCTGCAGAGGGATGGAACATGGAGCATCCTGGCATCAGCACAGGCGCAGCTGCCTGGGGCATGTGAATGCCAGGCTTGTGCTAGACCAAGAGCTGTGTTGGGAGAGCAGGGGCAGGACTCGAGCCTGGGGAGTGCTGGAGGAGAGGACATCCCTGCGCCGTGGCTCTCGAGGACTAATGGGGGCTCTGCTAGGGGTTGATCCATGGTGTGGCTCTCCAGCAGCTTGGCTGGACCATGGCACTGGAACCATCCTGCCATGGTGCATCATAATGCACCAGGAAGGGTTGTGATGGTTGGGACCATGTCCTGGTCATGACTATTGATCAGCACTTGTATTTTGGGTGTGCAACTTTCCCTCAGCAATGGAGCTTGTGGAAGCCATGGGATACAGCACAGGGGATGCCAGCACTGCTAGGACAGCTAAGCAAAGGATACTGCCCAGTCTGGACCAGTGGCCTCTAAGGTGCTGGTTTGCTCCTCATCTGGGCTCAGCACCCTGCAAACCTGGGATTCCCTGAGCCCTGGGTGCTGGGGGTGGGGGGCAGATGTGCTTTCCCCCACCACAGCATCAGTTTGTCCTCCAGAGCAGGCTGGGAGCCATGGAGATGTTGACTGTGAGATGGGGCATGAACTTGGGCAGGGTGATGGGGAGCATCACGGGCTGAACCTGCCTTGGGAGTGCCTGGAGCTGCCAGTACCCACCATCCCCGGGAGTAGGGGGTCTCTCCCAGGCAGCCCAGTTAAGGCTGAAACACTAATCACATAACAGCTCATCCCAACACCACCCAGTTTGGGTTTGGAGTGTGGGAAGAAGCAGGCTGGGGGGGCTGCAGCACGGTGATGAGGGCAGGGAGGAGGTGGCCGCCCTTGGGGAAGGTGAGGGAAGATGCCAAATTCTTCCTCCTCATTAGACCGTCCTCAATCACAGCAGGAAGGGGATCTCAGCCCGGCACAGCCGCCTCTTGCCCGGGGTTTGCCGGCTCTGGGCTGGTGCCAGCTCCAGTTGTGCAACAGACGCAGGAGCACGGGATGAGGGGACAGGGCTGCAGCAGGGGCTGCGACGGGGCTCATCCCATCCCCAGGGATGTTTGCCCGCTGCCATCGCCTGGCTGCTGATCTGCCAACTAACGGCAGCCGCATCCTCTTGCCCCAGTTGCCGGGAGCCCCATGCGATGGGATCCCCCCGCCCCGCACTCCGGGGGCTGGCTCCAGCTCCTTTCCCTTCCCAGCCAAGCGCAGCCGCGAGAGCAGCGTCAGGCTTTCCCGGGGCATCTGTTGGCAATTAGCAGCTTTTATCAGTCACGGAGACGCCATATGCGGTGAGGGAACGGAGCCCGGGCGAGAGGAGTAGGCTTGCGGGGGGACAAGGGGAGCCCCCAGTCCTGCGGGTCTGGGCAGTGTCTGCGGAGTGCAGACGGGTCCAAGCAGGTTGGAGAGCTCTGGAGCCATTTTCCATCCGCAGCTTCCACCCGAGCCAAGCTGCCTGCTCCCCCCCCGTGCCAAAACTGTTCCGTTTGAGGGGCGGAAATGCTGGAGAACCGGCTCTGAGGCTGCGCCGCGCCCGGCAGCGCGGGGGGACCGGAGCTCCTCCGCTTGGCTCCGCTCTTCAGCAAACTATTTCCTCCGAAAGAGGCGAAACTGCTGCTTTAACGCCGCGGAAACAAACGGGCCCTGTCAGGCTGGAAAGAATCCCCGCAGGCTCCTTCCTTCCCGGCTGAAAGCTGGAACCTGGGGGAGGGAGGGGGGATCTGTGCCTAAATCAGTGCAGGAATAAACGCTGAACCGCCGAAATCCCCGCCACAGGCATTCCCTCCTGCCCATTGCCCATGCAGCGAGGGAGAGCTGCCGTTACCATCGCCCCCGGCCCTGGAGGGGTTGAGCTCGGCGCGGGAGGTGGGAGCCCCGTGGTAACGCTTGGGGTTGGAGTCTAATTGACTCCAGCCCGAAAATTGCCGGGTTCTGCTCCGGCTTGTATTTCCTGGCATCTGGCGCCGGTGTTTCTGGGAAGAGCAGCTTGTCTCTGCTTTTTCCGTGCTGGGTCGGTGGGCAAGGGCCGCAGGATCTGGATTTTCCGTCACCCAGCTCGGCAGCATTCCAGGGAAAGCCGGCACGGGATGGAGGCAGACTGCTCCCCCCCTTAGCAGAGTGCTGGGGAGGCAGGATCCCATGTACTGGCACAAGGGAAGCAGGAGCGGAGTTTTCCACTCAGTGTTCCTGTGGCTGGCGAGGTCCCTTCATGCCACTGGACTGGGCACAACGTACCCAGGGGAGCACCCTGGCAAATGAGGGAAACTGAGGCACTGGAGGAGCAGTAGGAGGGAGGAACCCGAAGATGTCCACAGCTAGATTTGAGGGCCCAGGTTGCTGCTGGCTGTGCTGGTCTGGCTTGAGAGGAAGGGATGCGGCTGCCCTTCATCCCTGCTCTGCTGTGGGGCCAGGGCTGGGGTGTGGGACAAGGGCGGTCCTACCTATGAGGTGCTCAAACGCTGCACGGGGAGTTGTTGCTGCTGGGTGGCCACAGAGAAAAAATCAGCTCGGGATGAAAAATTGCCTAATGAACGGGAATTATGGAAGTTTCATTCTATCTCGTCCCCACTTGCTTTAATTACTCTTAATTACTGCAGCAGGAACCTTGAGGGAGGATGGAGCGCTCTGTCACAGCACCTCGGGGGCTGGCCCTGCATAAATGGCAGAGTGGAGCCGCTTGGTTTGCCCTCGACAGCTTATTTGCTGTGGGCTGAATAAATATCAGCTGTTAATTGCGGCGCCTTCATTGAGATGGATGCGTCCTGCACACACGTTTGTAAAGCTTCCGTGTAAATAGATCCATCACAGTTTGGGAGGAAGAGCAGCTGAGCAGGGGTGTGTGGTGCCGTGCGGGGCTTCCTGCAGAGGTGGGATGAAGGGATGGGGACACCCATGGGTGCTTTGCATCCCGCAGACTCGAACTTGAGTGGAGGAGTTGCTGTCCTGGGTGGGTCTGTTCCCCACCTGCTCCCTGCCCCTGCAGGGGCCCGGGATGGCTTGGGTCGCCTTGGCATGGGATGCTGGCATGGATCCGAGCAGCCAGGCACCGGGGGCAGTGGGGCAGTATTCGGGGCTGGCACATCTCTGTGGCTCCTGGTGGGAGCTGGGATGAGTGCTGGAACCAGCCAGTGCCCAGTGAAGATGGTTCAGCTCTGAGGAGTCAATGGCTCTGCTGCTGGGGACCAGGGAGGAGCCGTGGCAGAAGCAAGCAACGTTACTGCTGCAAGCAGCGATGCCAGCGGGATGATGGCAGCAGAGACCCTGAGCCCCAGCACCTTGTCCTGGGGCAGACCTTGGGGATACCAAGCCACCAAGCACTGGAGGAGCACTCCTAGGAGGACACCATCATCTCAATAGTGGTGACTATTTTGGCCAGCAGTGCCCATCCTCAGTGCCACGACCTGGGTCCGCTCTGATCCCTGGGAATGAAGAGTTGCTCCACAGGGCTGGAAGCCAGGGAATGGAACTCGGGATGGGTCCTGTCCTCCGGGCGGGGGTCCAGCCCCGGGGAGGGAGGGGGGAGACGGGTGGGAGGTGCTACAGGAGGAGGCGGCCGAGGGGAAAAAGAGGAGGAGGAGGGCGGGGATGCGAAGGCGGGCGGCAGCTCGGTTCCCCCCAGGCTGGGAGGCGGAGGGCGGGCAGCGCCGGGGGCGGCCCGGGCCCCCCCGGAGGGAGGCGGGGAAGGCGGCGGAGCTCCCGGTGTCCCGCGGCGCTCCCACCGCCCCGTCCGGCCGGACCCGCTCCCTCCGCGGGCAGCCCCGGCCCCGCCAGGTGAGCCCCGGGCACGGGCAGCGGGGCAGAGCGCGGAGCCGCCGTCGAGCGGGCGCGGAACCGGCGGTGCCCCGTTAATTATCGTCATTAATCACCGCCCCGGGGCGGGCCGGGGCTGGGACCGGGGCCGGGGGGACCCGCCGGTGCGGAGGGTGCGAGGGTCGGAAAGACGGGGGGCAGCGGGAGCGGGATGAGAGCTTGGGTGGGTGCAGGGGGGGCAGGATGGACTCAAGCGGTGCCAGACACAGCAGAGGGGAGCCGGGAGGTGCAGGCAGAGAAGAGCTGGGGGTGCGACAGAGCTAAGTGCAGGCAAGGCGGAGGCAGGGTTGCCGGTGGCAAGGGTCCTCGGTTACTGTGGCTGGGATGGAAACGCAGGGATGCAGGTCCTGCTCTTGCAGTGCTGAGTGGAGCTGAGCGTGTCCGGTGTGTCCCAGCGCCGGCTCCTGCAGCCCGGCCTTGCCTCGTGGCAGGAAGCAGGCAGGAGGGAGCCAGGTCGGCGTGACTTGCAGAGCCTGGGCCAAGCGGGGATCCACATGGGATCAGGAGATAAAACGGGAGGGAGAGAGACCTTTCCGGGGGGGGGGGGGGGGGGGCGGTGGGGGGTGGTCCGTGCAGGAGGCACCGGTTCTTCTCTGGGGCACCTCAGCCTCTGCGTTTCCAGATGTTTGGAGTAAATCCGGGTGCTGGGGTTGGACTGAGCCCATGAATGCCGGGATGCTGGGGCTTGTCCTCTGTGCTTGTGCTGGGTGTGGAGCAGATGGGGGATCCAGCAGTGGATGGGGGCCACGCTGAGCCCCCAAAACCTGCCCGAGCCATGGTCAGCATCCTCTCGGTGCTGGTGGCTTTGCTCGTGGTCAGTACCCACCATGTGCCTGCCCCACTGCTGCCACATCTCTCTCCCTCACAGGCAGCCACATCGCCCTGAGCCACTGCCCTGGGCACCATGAGGGGTCTCTGGGCCCTCATGCTCATGGGGCTCATCAGTGCCTGC